GCAAAGTTTTTAAAAAGCTTTACTAGTACCAATAAAAAAATTATTTGCAAAAAACTTTAACAGTGACAATTTTATTAACTGCAAAAAGATAATTCAATCCTACACTGGTAAATTGAAAACTTGCAAAAAAGGAAATGCAGTTTTTCGCCCGATTTGTTTACTAGTATATTACATGTATATTCAATACTAGTAAAGGACAAGTGTGGAAAGTCTGGAAACTTTTGCCTGTCATGACAAGATAGTGTGTTCACAACTCAGTTTCGTTCTTCAGACATCTGCTCGTGTTACCAGAAACTTTATGGAAATACAGTAAACGTCGGGTGCCATGCAGGGATATTTTGTTGAACAGACAAAGCGTGCGTCGCATCCGCCATCTTGAATTTTAATATGATTTTAGACCCATTTAAACGGCGGCTTTTCATTCACCCCTTTAGCTAAACCTGGCTCCTGTCAGCATAAAGTAGAACTTTTTGAGAAAATAAAACCCTTGTGTCCGTCCCTGGTGTGTGGTGAATCAAATGATAAATATTCATGCGGCGCTGTTTATTATGCTCTCATTGCGTGCTGAACAATATAGTTCTAAATTTAAGTTCGAATTCACGGCTGAGAAACGCTTGGTATGTAGTGCTGTTTGTTTTTCGGTATTTTACAAACTGGAATTGTTTTCTATGATTTATGTTTTTTTTCCATTGTCATTTTATATAAGTTTCCTCAAACAGTTCACTGTATAGGTTTCAAGATTTTAGTCAACGTGTGCATTTGACGAGCCACGTGACCCACAAACCTTTCGTTGAATGGTGGAAATTCTAAAATAGACTTTACCCTGCTTTGGCCAATATTTGAAGAAACATATCTCAATATCTGAAATGTTTTAACTTTCTGTCACGTTTTTTCCCCCATGGGAGAGGCTTTCAGTTGGTAATAGTGCTAATAAAGTTTTAATTGATTTCTGAAGGCCGCCACGGTAAAATTCTTGTCATGAGTGCACGATACATAAAGAATGGTCTGAATGCCTTTTCTTTCACATTGCCCACTTAGGATTGCAACATTCTGACCGATAAATTGCCAATTAGTATAGTCTTTCCGGCTTTCACAACATGCACACTGGTGTAGCATTTCATGCAGGTAGAGTTTAAACCCCTGACATAAGTCCAAAGGTAGCCGCCACTTCTTTTCATCAAGGTGGTTTCATCAAAGGTTCCATGACGATTCAAAATATCAAAATAAAAAAAATAACAAAAAACGATACTCTGTTTAACACGTTACTTCAGCTCTAGCTTTAAACCCTCAGTTTTGTTAGACATGTTGTGTTGAATACGGCCGTCACGAATTTGATCTATTCTTATCTAATTCGGTTCTCAGACCACTTTTGTCAGTGAAGGCCAAGGGAAGCCAGACAACAAGAGCTTGGCTGTTAATGTTCTTTTAGATAATTCAATCTATCTGACCGGGCTACAACCCTGTATAAATCAATCTAAAAAGAACAGAAGTTATCATCGAATTACGTATATCTTAAAATGCCGTCTAATTTTAAGAGCCGTTTTAAGCGGTGGCAGAATAAAGCACACATGCTGCACTAGGGATTTTCGCCGAATGACGAAGTAAGCATTCAAAAAATTCAAACGTGATCTTTTGGAGGTATTCCAAATTAAACTCAATTTAATTGAACTATCGGCAAGGTGGCCTCATTGATTACCATGGGGCCGTTTTAAAAGAATGATGTCGCTTTTCCTCGCCTTCTCTTTAGTGATCCATGGTACGTCAAGGTGGTAGGTCGATTTGGCTTGAACCCGCAAGTAAAACGCGGGCGGAGAAAGGACAGTTGCTGCTGGTTAAACGAAGCTTTCGATGTTATTCACTGCTTTAGCTACTTTATGAAACATAAAGGCTCCATAAGGAAACCTAGAAAACTTGTGATAGTAACATTACGAAAATTTTCATCTCAAAACAACTTTCAATATGAAAACACGTTGTGTCGTAGATATGAGTTTTCTTTCTCTTTATTGAAACCCTTATCGATATTGGGTCATTCTCGTCTATGCACACCCAGTCCGAGTTCACATTTCTAAGAGAGCACGTTTGGGCGCCTTCAAAAAAGTTTAAGGTCACCATGAGATGTGAAGAAATTAAGAGAACTCTGAAGCATATCAGGAATGCCGACGTAATCAATCATATAGAGATCCGAAAGCTACGAATACTCTTGAATCAAGGCCCCCTTTATAATTTTACAACTGAAGTGTCCCAGTCGAGTACCTTTTCAAAAACTGTTTACAATTTTCAGATCCTATCGGGCATTTTCATGCTGTTTGAATCAGGATCGATCTTTGCTAAAGCGGTTTCTAGAAAAAGAATGAAAGTTCAACTTTCATAAGTTTTCCGCGCTCTCTGAATCTCTTGGAATGTGGGATCATAGTTTGCTGTACAAAGTCTGTTTCGTGCCTAGCATGTAAAGTAAAGTTCATACTGTTGACAGAAACCAAGTGTGAAGCAATATTAGAGAGTCGTTATCAGAAAGCAATCTTCAATAGAAATGGGATCAAGGCCCTCAGCTGGTCTCCCTTTTGTTGTATAATGTAGTCCCTAAAATGACTTCTTCATTCCAGCACGAGTTAAATCTTAAATGACCACTTGAAAATGAGTTTCGCCTATGGCGTTCTGGCTGAGGGTCACTGGCAACTAGCAACGGAAAATCACCATGGTCAAACGTATAAAGTTTTTGCAGCGTATTTTTTTTTCTGTGGTTGAAAACGTCCCAACGTTTCTGGGCAATAAAAGCGTTTTCAAGTGCACTTCTGACTTGATAGTGAGCACCCTCACGGGACCATTTGCACTTACTTTGTACTAATTTAAGTGCGCTGATCATGATCATGATAAACTCATGAACTTGATGTTTGAAGAGAAATGGCCAATGAGAACTTAACAATCAATGCTGCACCAGTGTTTCTTTTTTTTTCCCTAGTTCTTTATAACGCTTGTTGGGTGCCTATTTCAATAAAAGCTTTCGAATTTAGTGCATTCTCTTAGAACTCTCTGCTGTGTTGAACAAAACGCCTGAATACTCTGTTGATGAAAAACTGTAAGTGTGCACTAAAATTAAATTGTTATAAGTGATTAAATGGACACACACTTCTTGGTTGCAAGCTCTAGGAGAATCAAACAGACTATGCTCTTTAGAAGGCACTTTGCGGCCGACTTTTCCCGCCATCAATATTCTCCCAAATCACTTATGACGGTGACTCACTGTAAATGAAATGACGACAATTTGGAAAAGTAGTTTCATAGTAACTCATTACTTTAAAAGTCAGGGGCCAGATTCACGAGGTCCTTTTAGATTAAGACGTCCCGTAAGTATTGTTCGAATACAAAAGACTTTTAATAGGAAACAATGCTTAGGAGGCATCAATTAAGTAGCGCTTCATGAACCTGGCAGCAAAGCTGAACCGATTTTAAGAGTAACAAAAAGCCTCATTGTATCTGCAATAAAAAAGTAGAAAAGAGAATGTTTTTTAAGCGATGATTAGTTCCCCGCCGAAGAATTTCACGTTTTTTTTTCCTTTTCACCGAGATGAAATGGGCAAAGTAACTGACACAACCGGTGCAAACGAGGAAATAATCGAGCTTAGTCCTCCACCGTGTTTTATTTTCTTATTCGCGCGTTCCTCTTCAAACCCTGCTGAACAGGCTACAGATTTGTTGTTTTCACTGTATACCTGAAAGTCGCGGAACAGGTTCTAATTTTAGAACAGGTAACAACAAAACCCTTGACTTGTTTGTGCCATTTGCGCAGAAGCTTGCATACAAAATCTCGTTCCGCTGGAACTTGAATAAATGCTCAAAGACATTTTGTAAATGACCAGGGAACACGAAGCCGCAGTGAAGTGCTTGCAAACATTCCGATCAGAAGAATGTCGGCTCAACTAGAAGTCATGTTTTGTTCACTTTGTATGGTCGACAATGCTAAAAACTGAAGCTTCTGTTGTTTGCTGGGCGACATAGATTTATTTAGGAAGTGACAGTATCGTACGAATTAGGGGCTCGTAATTAAACAAGAATGGGAGAGCATTTTTGCCATTTTGTCTTTGAACTCAGCAGCCAGTGGCCCTAAAAGAGTTCTTGACCCATATCGAGTGAATTTTAACAAACTCGTGGGAACATTTACCGAAAACAATGTAACGCTGCATAGCTCACACTTCAGGTTTGAAGTTTGTGAGCTCCATGCACCGAGCTGTAACCATTGAAATGCACTTAGCGGCCTGACGGAAAAACAAAGGGATTACACCCCGACAACGACATGTCTTTATTTATGATCGGCAAGTGAAAAAAAAAACAAAAAAAACACTGCTCCAAATCAGAGATTAGTTCACTTTCGAAAACAAATCAAGATGGAAAACGATAAATGAGGTTTTCTAAATCATCCGAGGAATTTTCTAACACGTGGTGTTACGCTCTAAACAGGTGTACTTTGAGCATGTTGCGGGAACGAAAAGAAAATGATATCACATCTAAAGCAAATATCCGACGCGTGGAATCAATTTGTGCGCACCTGAAAAAATAACGCGATTTTTCGCCCATCTTGACATGCTTTTTGCTGTCAAAGCTCTACGCCGATTTCTTTCTTTTTTTTTTTTTTTATTTAAATTCAAAGACGTCTGATGAAAAGACTTTGGGAGGGTGTAAATAAATTGGTAGAATTTTTTCGCGCGTGGGTTGGTAAACACAACACGTCGTTTACAGGTACAAAACAGATTTGCTATTATTTCGAACTCAAGCCAAGGGATTTGTTATGTTTGCTTTCTCTTGAAGAATGTCTTTCACTCCTCGATGGGCGCTAATTCCATTTGCTCTGTGAAGGTGAACGCATTCCTTTAACAAAGACGTCATCTCTAATTGTCGGTGCGTACACTTTTAAGAGAAAGGAAACCGCAGCTTTTGAAATCGCACGTTGGCTGCCAGAAAAACAACGGGGACGCAGGCACGGCACACACTGAAAACGGACGAAGTCGAGTTCAACAATCCCAGTTCTTTATTACAGTATTTACACACGTTAGATAGGCAGGCATACACACGGGAAGGTCTGCGACAGTCCAAGGAAATGCCCCTGTCAAAAATGGATTTCCTGCAAATCTGTTGGCGTACTTGGCGTGCTTCCGTTTTCCATTTTGGAGGATGGAGTTTCCGTGACATTAAAATGAAGTACTTCTTCCATAAGCTCTTGGCATGACTGTAGGTATTCCTGCGTGAGAAGGGTGAACCGGAAAAAACGTTTAGTCTAAGCTTCAGTTCGAGGTTGTTTGTTTTAAGGCGACTTTTCAAGTGCAAAGAAGTGTTCTGTTTTTAGTGTTTTTTCCTCTGGCTGTTAGTCAAATGACTTTATTGTTGAACAAAACCGCGCGTTTAAGTGAAAGTGAAAAAAGAGGCAGGAAGATGTCTAAAGCCTGTGAATCTCACTTTTGGGTAAAGCGGAAGAATTATTTCCCTTATTTGCTACAGTTAATAGTGTATTTGCTTTTGTTTGCTACAGATTGACTGAACGCTGCCGCAGTTTAGTCACAGCGCCTGTCATTAGAAGCATTTTTCTTTCCTTACCGGTTCTATGTTTGTCAGTCTCTGTAGAAACGATTCCAGTCTTGTTTTCGTCCAAATGCTCTTTTGTTCTGGTGTCGCAAGACCAGAAAATGCAGCGCAAATAGACGACGCAGCTAATGTCGATGGCGGATACATCAAAAACTTCTCATCTAAAAAAAAGAAAACAAATAAATGGGAAAAAAATGGTTAAAAAAATCGCTAAAAATAAATATATAACATTACAAGTTCAAGCGCAATATTGCTTTTACATCAATAAATAAACCAAACTACAAAAGAAATTCTGCACTTTTTGTTTTAAAAGGAAACTGATTACATCGGTGAGTTTACAATAAGCCAAGGGGTAAGAAAAAGTCTGGATCGTTCAACGTTGACGGAGACAAACAATTCAATATTTGTAGTGGGCCAACCCCTTATCATTGTAGCCTAAATAGTTAGGCTCTTCTTACCAGTACAGCAAAGAGCGATGAAGGTCGCCGCATGCTTTCGTATCACGCTCACATTCGGTAAGGAGAGGCGGGAGAAGATCTGCTCCAGAAAATCGTAAGGAGTGACGGCAGACAAGTCCCATTTAAGTTTCCCAAGAACTAAAATTTCCCAATCCTGTAAAATAAAAGGAAGAAATAAAAAGTGCGTTAGTTTGAAAGAAGGAAAAAATTTTCGTGCTTTTCTGGGTTTAATAGCAAAATAAACATTATTGGTGATAAATGGTAAAAAAAAATCATTAAAAATTTTTGCACAAAATTGGTTTGACCGCAAGCACGAGCCTTCCAGAAGGAATGAATGAACACAGGTGATCATGTGTTTTATTTAGTAATCTTACCAGTAATTCTTCACAAGTAATGGAATTGTCTGTATAAATACACAGCTTTTCAGCCGAGAGCGGCGATGTTTCTTTCAGCTTGCTAGCGATGAACATACACACAGCGCCAAGCAACTGGAGTTGACATTTTCTGGTCGGTACAACCGACAAAAATCGGTCAAGATAGTTCACTGCTAAAGGAAAGACCTCTTCTTCGCACATTTGTTCCTCACACACCTAAAAAGTTGAAATCACGAGAAATCTCAAAATCACGGTCAATGTGACGGTCAGGGTGGTGATCTATTTATAAACGAAGGAAATCCGAGTTGATATTTACCTCGAGCATCCAAGTCGTTACCATGCGCCTCATGTGCGGCTCAATCTCCTTCTGTACAATGTTGAAGTATCGACAACTTGGAATATATTTGTCCTCGCAAGTCAGTAAATTCCGCAATACACGGTCATCGTTAAGGAGAATGTGATCTTGGTATGCATAGCGAACTCTCGGTCCCTCGCAGCACAGTAGTTCCATGCTAGGTTCGAAGATCGAACAGTCACAGCGGAAGTTAGGAGGCTACGCTGAAATGTACAGCGCCGGGGCTGTAAAGCAAAGCCAGTTTGAAGTCACAGGCTTCGATTGCAGAAGCAGACACTTTGTTCTATAGGAAGAATGCCGCCGAATCTCTACCTTATGCGTGTGGCCTCTACACAAACTGACCCCCGGCGCAAATTGCAGCTTGAATTATTGTCAACTTGCGCCGAGCAAGTGCAGAAAGAGCTAGAGTCTGGGATTCTATCAAATTTATAATTGACAAGCCGTCATTTAGCATATGCTCAATCGACGTCGTAACGTTGCTGGGTAGATTTTCTACTTTCGCTAGGCAACGTGCATTGTGATGGCTTCCTGCCTTTCAAACACCGACCAATCAGAGCTTAGCGGCAACGGCGCAGAAAAGTCTATCTTGACCGCAAAATCCTTCACTGGACCGGAAACGCTTATAAAACCCACCACACAACCTGACCGTAAAGATTGAGATTTCTCACATGATTTCCGCGCGAAGGATAGATATGATATAGAGATATGCCGTACGGATTGCATGGTAGTTTTGCTGGCAGCACGATTCCCTGAACGCCTTCTATTCTATTTATAAATTTAACTGCGAGGCGGAGCCGAGGGAAGGGATGCCATGCATTCCACCACATAAAACCAACAGTCCATGACGAAACAAAATGAGTGTTGACATCTGAGGGTTTTGTAGATCAAATTTCAATGAGTTCTTGTCTGCTGACAGGTTGCCAGGTATATTTATGGTTCAGGTTTTCCGTTCCCACTGCTAATGATGTCACCAGCGCTTTACAAGAAAGAGAAGATTTCAGTTCACTTTGCCGCAAATTAAAAATTATATGTCAGTTGCGCAAGGGTCTAGAGAGAGTGCAAAAGGTTTTTGCCTAAGTAAACGTTTCAAAAGGTCACGGATGATCGGCATTGCATTGTTCATATACATCCAATAAATGAAGCTAAGTGAAAACCAGCTTTAATCCGCCCGACAGTCGAAGATTATCGCAAAAATTTTACAGTTCTTAAAGATACGAAATGTCCAGGGTTCCCTTTGGATTGCATTTCAGCCTTTAGCGATGTTCCAATGCAGTGCTCTCTTATGAGTATTTGATTGACATATTGCAAAACCAGATTACCAAGAAATATTATCGATTTCCACAGTTTCTTGAAAATTATGTAAGCGCAAGAGTTTCTTGCAACGAAGGGGCAAGTTTAAGCAAAACAGCTGCAATCCTGAATCTTCTACCTCCGGCAGGAGCTGTTTAAATTAAGCTACTTGAATACCCTCATGGCGTTTTTGTTTGAAAGTGCAAATCTGTATTGATTTTTCGGTCACCCCGGGTCAACAAAACAATACAACACAAGATACAACAAGCTAACACAACACAATACGAATGATTGATAAACTCTTCAAGCTTTAGTGTGAGCCCGATCTGAGCCAAAAATGCCTTGGAATATTGTTTCCTAATCATGTAACACCATACATCCTGTTCAAAGATTCTTTTCAACTCGTGACCGAGATGCTAAATTGCTCTCGCTTAGAAAACAATGAAATAAGTAAATTCACGTGGCAATCATGTAAATTTCAACCGTTCTTTTGATTGGACTTTATCTTAGCTGGTTTTCTGTAATTATGATTTGACGTAGATTTGTCTAAATTTGCGCATACCTATATTCTCAGGGAATAAAATGTCCATTACGTCTTTGAACCTCAACGCCCTTGACCCGTAGCATTGTTTTTTCAAACATTTCGTGTGGTTTCTAATGCCTCTCATAGACAGCAACGGGGTCTTTGCAAAATTTCAACACAACATTTCTTGCTGGCAGCCTGAGAGGTGCTAGCGAACGTTACATTTTCGTTGACAAACGATATTCCGGTTCTGACCACTCACTTGGAAAATGACTGATGAACACATTCCCCGCAAAAATGAGAAACCAACCATTTTTTCCTTTGTCCCATGCATATTTAGTTTCTGACTTATTATCCTCTTTCTGTAACAGGAAATTCATGACGATGAAAGCTGTTTTCCGCACTTGGGGTGTAAATCTGTTTTGTGCCTCTCATTCCCACGGAATTCCAAAATACGTGTATCTTTCGTTTGGTTAGATAAGAGAAGAAAGTGACCTTTCACCTCCGAACAGCTGGAAAACATGTTTCTAACGGTTGGGTTTCTTACCAAAATAAACTCTTAAGGTATGATACTTTCTTTCTTTTACGTCAAAGTGAAGCCAATACACACTGTATGTTAATCGTAAGCACCAGCTGCCCCGCTTACAGTGCCGCATGCATAAGAAACAATCTCTTTCCCGCACGGGAACAAATAATTAGTCACTTGGGGCGGGTCATCTCGTCTCGACCGGCCACTCTAGAGTGTCCGCATTAAAAATAGCTTATATTGCGCGAAATGTCTCATTTCCACGAAAAAAACGTGGTCTCTGTGTTTATATAACGAGGTAGCTCAGAAAAGTATGCGGAGCATTTCACGAAAACATCAAATTGGGGAAGAAGAAGCCTTGAGGAAGTCTTGTGACGATAAGATGCGGAGAATGACATAATTAACGGAAAATACGATGTTATGTTGCGATTAAAAAACGCCACAAGAAAATCATGTGAGAATGGTGATGAGTGGAGAATGTTGATTCTTTACCGTTTGTATGATATCAGACTCGGGTGATATGACGCGGGTAAAATCCAGCTAAGCCAGTTAAGCTGTAAAAACAATTTTCAAACATATCGTCGTTGTTCGGGAGCTTGGTCTCTTGATGTGATAGTCGCATGTTCATAGTATCATCGTGTTCTGTTTGTTTTCCGTTAACTGGTGCATAACAGAAAGCAAATGGAAGAGACATCTGTTTTTGTTGCTCTTCCTACTGTTATAATCCGCGCGGGAAAAAATCAAGTTTGTGTCCAGAAATGGCTCAAGTTTGACATCAAAACAAACTGGTACCCGTCTGTTCCCGGAGCAACCACTCATTTGACCGTAACAGTTTGACAAACACGGCTATTTCATCGGTCAGATCTTCCTGTAGTTGAGGAAAGAAAGCAATGAACAACCGAAACTGAACATATCAGAGTGGACTTCTATCCAAAGGCAGCCTTCCTTATCTTCAATCACATCCGTTCCCTATCAGCTATAAATCTAATCTGAGAAACATTTCTTCAACTGTGGTACCATGCTTGCACGAAAGTGAAACTACATTCCACAAATGAAAAACATCTTTAAACTCTAAAGTGAAAGAGTAAACCTTTAGTAAAGCTTTTACTTTCCAGATTCTCTGTCCAAGTGGCTTAACTGAGACACGTGTGTTATTTCAAACGTTTTCGCGCCATATTCACAAATTTGGCCCACACGCACGCATGTATGTTGCCAATGCATAACAATGGCGTAATATTGGCGCATTTTTTTGCGCCATAACTGATGCCGGTCAGCTGTCGGTGGGACGTCACTGAGTGTCAATGCGCCACTCCATCATACTAAACAACAGTAAACTATAATTCCATTTCCACGCGAATATATTCAATCAAGTTATTGTTGTCCTTTGATATCAGACTTAAGAGACATCGGCCTTGGATAACATATACGTTATTGAGGAATTAGATTGATCGGATTTAAGAGTTTGAGATGGCTTAAGGGCAGTTACGTAATTCACAAATATTGAGAGCTGGTAACCCCCCCCCCCCTCCCCCGGCCGAAACCTGGCCTCACCTTTGTAAAGATAATGCATAGGATCATGCATTGAATCACATCTAAGTGTTTTCTTAGTTGGAATATCACTAACAAGATTGGCTTCGTGCGTGATATTAGGTAGAAACCAACCAGTCGCGAAATCCGAAAGGAAAACAGCTTATATTAATCTTCACTGATAACCTGCAACAAGACTAATGGTATTTACCTTTGGTATTGCCTCGAGGGTTCGCTCGAGCCATTCTCATTTATCCTCTTCGAGCTTATTCTCTCTGTTGTATTGACACAACTTCATTGCTTTTGAAAATGCGTCAAATTTAGCCTCCGCCCGTTATCACGAAATGCCGAAATTTGTACGTATCGTTCAATATACTTTCAGGAACAGATTCAATGGGCTCCTTTTAAGTATTTATTAAATTACTGATATTGCACGCTGAGAATAACTCATGCAAGAAATCGGTGATGAAAACGCAATTTATGAGCTGGTCCGGACAGGATCGGCCAAGGGATCACACAAGAGAATTCAGTTAAGTTCAGATTACAAAGAATGTGCGATTATCATAATCTAGCATTGTTCACTTTTTCGGCTGAGTAAAGTACTTGGCAAGTGTCAAACACGAAAGTCTAGAACAAAATCTGAGAAGATCTGTCGATAGTTGCCAAATTTTATCCAGAAGTCACTCTTCGTTGATTCCAGGATACTAACGTTGAAGGTGCGTTCTATATACTGCGTCGATCAGCTGAAAAATTTATAGACTGGATACAAACCCAAATCTCCCAGATTGTCCAAGAGTGTCGGGAAAATGTCTGGAAAAATGCACAATCAAACACGAGATTCCGTTATTCAAACTACTGGAACTTGAAGTGCCTTGAGGTCAAGGTCTTAATTAAAGTGCTATAAAGAAAGGTAGATAACAGGCACTGGCGCACTTTCCTGTAACAATCTTTATTATGTGGCTGAACTGGTATAGCCCACAATGACAAGGAGAATTCTGATTGGTTCAATGGCGGTCCGAATTTTGCAATACGCACCGCTAAGATGGACTACTCACGAAATTATTTCGGCGAATTGTTTTTTCAATTCACTGCACAAAATAAACATCTTTTTGTTGAGTAGAAATCTTTTAACTTCATGTTTGAAGGACAATTTCACTTAAATGTTCACAAAAGCGGCATGAGAAACGGAAATAAATGCTTACGTTTCGGGCACGTGTTTACCGAGAATGGATCGCCGCACCAATTTATCAGCAGATTAAAAAAAGCCATTATAATAGATACTTGACTGATTTAGCTTGTTCGGTCCGTATTGGAGAAATATTGGTCGAGCTCTTTTTTGCACGTTTAATGGACCTCGCCAGCGGCTCGGTCCAACATTTCTCCGAACAAGCTAGTACATGCCTACATACAAGAAGGGTGTAGAGAGGGTGCGTGAATGAATGAATCTCATTTATCAGTTTAATTTTCGGCGATTTCTCAGCTATCAGCTCAGTTTGCAGTTCTCAGATCTCCGTTATCATTTAGTTAAAGGGGCTCAGTCACGGTATTTTGAGTTATTTTGGCCATGTACAAAATTACCTTTAAACAGTGGTAAGAAACCTGAAAATAACAGTTCAGTAAGATAGAAAAACACCAAAGAGATAATGATAAACCATAAAGGAACAAGGAGGACTAAGGATGGAGAAGATTGACACGGATTACAAACGACGAATTTGAAAAATTGAGGCTAAACTTTTCAATACGCGCAAACCGTGACTGAGCTCCGCGGCATTTCTCAGCTATGACTGTCAAATCTTAATTTTGAGCAATTCTCAACTATTTGGTGTACCAGTTGCATCCTATACAGATTGTCTTTCGGGGAGAAAGTTTTCTCCCTAGCGTCCGTTTATGAAAGAAGAATTTTGGTAGGGACGGGGAGAGGTCGGGGGTCGGCAATGCCATCATGCGATACGATCGCACAGTATATCCAAGATGGCGGCCACTCTGAAATTTTTCGAAGAAGACCTGGAGACGAGATCAGTTGAAAGAGATTGGGAAATAGTCGCCTGTCAAAAGTTTGCCTGAGTGAGACGAGTCGAATTTTCTGGCTAAGATTTAGTCGCAGTTTTGTCCTAAAAAGGCAGTATGTTGCGGAGAAGAGCGCTTAGTAAGTTACCCATTTAATTATTGTGATGATCGCACATCATCGCCGTTTTAAAAATTATTGCAGATGGAAGATTTGTTTCTCAACAAGTTGGTTTATGAGTGGAAGCCATCTTGTTTTTCTTTTTGTAGAGAAGGTCGCTTTAAATTACTACTTAACTTGTCCGGAATTCAAAAAGATTATTTTTCCATGATGTAGATTTTTCCCAAAATTTAAGAAAGCTAGCAAAAGCTTATGCATAGTGGTCTTGAAGGTTTGTTAAAGACTCTGCTTCATATCACATGCCCCTGGCAGAGACATCTCAGAGCATCCATGGGCAGTTCCTTTGACCAGAAAGACGTTCTTTTACAACTCCATTCTTTGGCATCCAAGAGCGAGAACTGAAACAAAAGGATTAATGTAACCTACTAGACAGAAGTTTTGTAGAGAGAAGTTTTTGATTTTTTCCCATCCAGATTATTAGACCAGCCACCTAACTGCTTGTCCAAGCTACTGCCTCAACTTGTTAACAAGCTGATAATTGTTCTTTATAATGTATGTATGTAGTAGTGAGGTTACCACAAGTTATATTCGCTTTTTGCTTATTTGCTTCTTTTTTTTTTTTTTTTAGCTTTGTTTGGTTTCAAGAGTCCCTTTGTCTCTGCTGCTTGCTGCTTCTTAGCCACAGAATCTGGAAGTGTAGATAAGAAGGTAAATTGTCTTTCAATTTCCTCATGATATCAATAAAATTAGATGTAGAAGTATGGAGGGCTAATGCAACCTGTATATTGTATGTGATGTAAAATGAAATAAACACAGCATAATTTCTAAACTGTAAACATTCTAAACATACACTAGATATTTATTGGAAAAAATGCATTTGCTACAAAGACACCTAAGTACAAAATGGAGAGGGGCATTGAATTGAGGTGGGCATTTATTAGAAGGAGGCTGTTACATTAAAGTTAAATAAGCTGGTTGCATTCTGAAGTTCTCTTCATACACAGACCATGTTTGTCTTGCACTGCTCACTATTAAATTGCTTTTTCCTATGACTCTCTAAGGAGACTGTTCACAGACTAAGGTGTTGAATAACGAACTAAGAAGGAATTGAAACCTCAAGATTACAGTCTTGTGAAGATGATGACATAATTTATAGCTTACAGATGAAGAGGCAATCATCTCAAAATGTCTGAGGAAATCAGACAACATTTGTCCTTGAATTGTACAAAAAGAATATCAAACAATCAACAGTGTCTTGTAGATTGATAATTATGGGCGTAACACAGTTTTCCATATGATTTTTTCCCATCCAGATTATTAGACCAGCCACCTAACTGCTAGTCCAAGCTACCGCCTCAACTTGTTAACAAGCTGATAATTGTTCTTTATAAGCTACGCAGCCAAAACAGTTTCCCTGGGAACTTTCTTTGCTAACCCTTTTTCTATTGACATAGGCTTATTTCTTTCTTTATACAGAGCACAAGCAGGTTTGAGTTGGTGGAAATGAGTGGTTGGTCAAAGGTAGTGCTGTCACCTGACCCAGTCACATCTCTAGCTCATTGTGTCAGTGCAGATTTTGATATGACTGACGGCATTGCTAACAAATTTAGAAAGAAGTATGGCACCTATGAGGATCTCATCAGAAAAGGTTACATCAAATTTCTTTTTTGCGCAGTAATTCTTACTTAATAGCTCCAGTGAATATGGAAATCATTCCTAAATGGTAGAAAGAGGAAGGGGGGAAGCTTATTTCTGGCCTTGAAGGAGGGAATTTCTACAAGGGGAAATTTGTTTATGGTGCTAAATCAGCTAGCTGATTTACCACCAGTTTATTTATTTACATGTAGTAATCGCAATCTTGGGGAAGCTTGTAATTGGGGGTGGCGGGGGGAGAGAGATTAAATAGAGATGAGTGCAGTTATACCAGTTGGGCTTATTTGAGAGGGAGCCTCTATCAAAATATTGGCTCTAATGCTAGCCCAATTCTATGCTGACTGATGAGGTTACTCTTTGTAATCATGTTACACGATTTGAAGGTTTATAGACCACACTTGTTCTAATGATAATTAATATATTGCCATGGATCATTAACAAAGCAATAATTTCTGTGTTTCTTTAGTTACCACAGACGTATCAGTGGAATAACCTAACGTATGAACACAACTTGGCATGGGGTTTTGAAGGGATTACAATTGAATAAGAAAAATTCTTTTAAAAATGTATTGCTCTCGCTAAAAGATAACTATCCTGATGCCAAATTTTATTTTCATAGGGCTTAGACTGGTTTTTAAATTGCATACTGTCAAAATGTTTGTGCATCAATACATCACTCTACTTTACAGGTCTTTATTTTCAACAAGCCAGACAGGTGGGTGACATTGCTGTGTTGGAAAGGAATGAATCAAGCTTTGTATATTACCTGGTAAATATCTTTTAATCAGAATTTCGATGTTTATTCTTTTTGAAACAAATCAGATCAAATGCTTGTGTTTTTTATATATCTTTGTCACAGTAACTACAAGCTTTCAAACTAATGTCTGTAAGTCTTGACAAAGCCTTCAATCCCTTTCATTATAGGCATTCATGGTTAGTGCACTTGGCTACAGATCGAGTGGTCTGGGTTTGAGCCCTAGCCGGAGACATTGTGTTGTGTTGTAATGGGCAAGACAATTTCACAGTGCCACTCTCCAACCAGGTCTATAAATGGGTACTGGCAAACTTAATGCTGGGGGGCAACATTGTGATGGACTAGCATTTCATCCAGGGGGAGCAGAAATACTCCTAGTCGTTTTATACTACTGAAACTGTGATAATCACTGGCCTGATGTGCCTCTTGGCTCGTATACAGACTTAACCTTACTGTACTACCTTAAAAACGTCCTCAAAATTAGATTATACTGTGTGCCCTGGGCTATTTTCGTTCAAATAATGATAAACACTGCAAGTGACTGGATGAAAGACCATATATTTGAACTGTGGAGAAAGATATGAAGACATGATTGATCATCGCAGTTATACACACAACTAAAGCAGTTGTGAAATTAATGCCTGAAAAAAAATTTAGTCTTAAATGGGATTCCAACCCATGACCTCTGCAACACCAGTGTAGTGGTCTACCAGTTGAGCTATCAAACCAAAGTTCTGGGAGCTGGTCACTTTGTGATTTTGTAACATACCATTAGATGGTGGAGATAGGAGTGAATATATCAAAGACCATATATTTGAACAGCAGAGAAAGATATGATATAATTTCACAACTGCTTAAGTCTTGTATATAACTGTGATGGACAATGTTTAATAATAAACACTGTTCTATGGGAACAGAGAGTTTTTGCCACAAGTCAGCAGAAAATGCTATGAATTGAGAAAATATATAAACGTGGCAGGAAACTATAATGAACATATCAAAACATTACAAAGAATTTGGGACATCATTACTGTTAGTTACAAATATCAACCTTGTAACTATGTCACCGAAAAATTTCCTTAGACACGAATCACGGGATTAAGTCTAGACAAATCAAGTACGCGACTCTAAAAATACCTTTAAGAAGAACCCCCTAACCAAAATAGAAAAAAGGCTTTGTTATTGGGTCTGTGGGTAGTTCCAAAATAAAGGTTGATTGTTTGTTGCCACTGGTCCAGATTTCACGAACCTCTACAACATTTGTGGGAGGAGTCAGCTGGGCTCCCATAGTGCCTCACTGTGCCCAGAACTGTGAAATGGGTCGTGGTGAACTTTCAGGACCTAACGAAATGGTGGAATCACTTCTGATTGACTGTCATCCCAGGGGGGAAGAGCAGTACTCCTAGCAACTTCATGCTACAGAAACTGGAGTAACGCGCCACTTGGTTGCTTCAATCCTTTGATTAATAGTAATGATTTTTTTTTTTCGAAATTTTGCAGATGACAAGAGAAAATTGGTGGGACCATGCCACACCTTCGTCTATGCGCGCCTGTTTAGAGCAATTGAGAATACACTGCCAAGAACATGGTGTGGACAAGTTAACGATACCTCGTCTGGGGACCGGCGTGGATAAGATCGATTGGCCTTTCGTCAGAAGAATTCTTGAAGACGTTTTCAAAGACACTGATATATCAATTACGGCATATACATCAAGATAACCTCGATTCTGAGCACTTCATAAATTGAGTTTTTTTTTCTATCAACTTAGATCACGGGCACCATATCAAGAGGACGGCGAGAAGAACGCGCGGCAAAGTTGAGACAGGAAGGCGAGGACCTCGCGCGCTTCGCTCGTGGTAAAAGTCAGCGAAAAGGGCCCTCGCGCGTTTCTCGTTTCCTCTTTCCCTTGGATCTGATTTCCTGCAACAGATAAAACACATTAGCATCACCCAACTAGTGGACTAATGCAAATCCTGCATTTTGATTGGCTACGCTACTAGAGGACTATTAGTAATAGTCCTCGAGTAGCGAAATTGG